CCTTTCCTAGTTAAGATTTATATTTTTTTGCCATTTATATAGATAAAATATGTTTTCCCCTCACGTTGTGGATTTAATGGGGAAATTAATCATTCCTTGCTCTAAAAGCTACCAACCAAGAAACACTCCTAAGCAAGAACCACGAATTCTGAAGGCATTTTGAGGTTCAGATAAMAAATGAATGCTCTTAAATACATTCTACACATCATATTTGCCCATCTTTTAAACACAAACACTGCTGTTTGGTGATCAAAATGCAGATGTTCAATAGACATCATTATAATCCTTGTTACTGTGACTATAATTCATAAAAAAGCATCTCAGTTATGGCCAGTTATGGCCATACAGAGAAGGTATGGGTAGCAAGCCTGCTAGGGGACCTACTATTTGAAGATTTTTCCAAGGATTCAGACAAAAAAGATTGTCAGTGTGACAATTTTCCCCAGAATCAAAGACTGAAAAAAAGAAATCCATTACAGATTGATTACAAAACACTTCTCCAAGTGGTGTGGTTTAAAACTGATTTTGTCCTCATCCTGCACAGCAATATGTGATTACTAGAAGATAAATGATGAATGAGGCTCCCAGGGGTTCTGAAATTCTGTTGTTCTTGTTTGTCATCTGAACAGACAAACCCAAAAACATTGGTGGTAAAGCCATTTCGTAATTTGGTGAGTTAACATGGTAACTTTTGTAATAGCTCATGGGGTCCCAAAAGGGRTTCAGTTTAAAGAAGGTGACCTCAGAGTTACACCCACTGTGTAGTTTTCCTCTGTGCACATTTTGAACTATCAGACAATCTCAAATCAACTTAGTCCCCTTAAAGAGATAWGAGGAAAGAAATTGCTTCAGTCACTCAGCTTCTCACCTGTCTCAGGAAAAAGACTGAAAATTTCTTGCAAAAGGCTGATAATTTCTGCTTATCATTTGGAAAATACAGAGCCCACAAGACTAAACTGCAATTTATGGAAATTGCCRCTCAAATATTGGACAAGTAATTAGAATTGTTACCAAGTAAAAATAAGTAATTTATCCTTGCCTCTGACATCACAGAAATTCTAAAGCTGTCACGTTCTCCTCAGTGTACATTGTTGACTTGCTCCACTTCACCCTCCTTTAAAACAGTGAAAGTCAACTAGCAACTCTTATTCCAGTTTGCAGCCTGTATTTTTCCACTCTAGATTTAAAATTGTATGATAATGGAAATTCTGCATTATTGTGCTGATCCATATGAAACAATGGAAGTATTTGAGCCTTAGGCCAATGTAAATCCCAGTGCAACACTYGGTCCTTACACAGCAGTCGTGTGGGAGCACAGGAAGGTGGGAAGACTGGTAATGCCAAGAAAGGCTCTGCAGACAAGGTTCCTGCACCAGCCTGTCACGAGTGATACACTCACAGAACGTGGCTCYATCCACCCCTCTGGGTATCACCATGGAGAATCCAAAGCCTTTTCCCATGGGTCTAGAGCTACACCTCTCCAAAATCCATAGCACTTGACATACACAGAGAGTGAAATTTCCCTCACTGGTGGTTTTTGGCTGCCACWAACAGCCAGTAAATGCTACAAATGGCTGCAAATAAGTTGACTTTATCTCTCTGAACTTTGCTTTTACTACTAAACCAAAACACACTTCACAGATTATTATTTTTGTACTCAAAGCAGGTTAAAAACATCTGGAGATGTTAACAGCAGAAAGACAAGAAAGTTASATTTTAAGTTTCCCTGTCAGGTGTTTTCTCTACAATCTCTTTTCAGGTCACAGGTATTCCACAGCTCCCAGTGCTTTTCACCAGTGCAGCACCATCTCCTCGTCATAGCCGAGGTATTTGCATTTCAATACCCTGCCCGTACCCGAATGTCAGCTCTGACACACCAACTACACGGGAGRGAGCAGCTCAGCAGGATTCCTCGGGAGCTGCAGCAGCACAGGAAGTGGGAACAGTGTGGAAGCAGGAGACAGACCTCATCTCGGAGCCGTACCTAGCAATCCCAGGGTGGACCTTTGGGGATCTCTTTTCAGGGGCTGGGCAAGAGAGGGTCCAACAGCCTTACGTAAAAAAACAAAACAAAACAAAGAGAGAAAGGACTATTAACACCAYCTGAAATCCAATCTCATCAGAAAGCAATCAGAACAAGAGAAGCAGTGACAAGSAGGAAAGCTGCAGATCCCTTCAGAGAAAAGGGCGCAGAAAACATGGGCAGGGATAGGATAGTCTAATTCTAAACTGGGATGAGGGGCAGCTGGAGGGAAAAGAGAGCCTAAGAGCAAAGACTAAACAGGAAAAGGGAAAAGGAAAGGAGACACGCAGGAGTGTAAATTCAGAAACAACGTAGASAAAACATGTTACAACTTGTTAACTTAGAGTAAGCTTTTCATATACATGTTTTTCCTAGGACGATACAGAAATTGCCACTGTCCGTGACCCTAATCAGTAGCTTCAACAGTTATCCTAATATTTCACTATTCTGTTTCGGCAAAAGAACCCAAATCAACATTTAGGAGTCGTTTAGCCAAATGGCATTCCCCCTTTATTTTTCTTTAAATTACTGATTCCAACCAATTCCTTTACTTTGAAAGTAAACAGAAAAGAATATGTATTTTGGTAAACATGCCTGCAAGTGGATTTCCTAAAGAGTTGAAAAGTCAGAAACACAAATTGCCCAAGAAGCTGAAATGGTATTTTGCCTCTTTGCTCTCCCTTMCACTGAAGCAACCCCAAGTTTTGTGGATACACAGGGAATGCTGTTCCTTCAAAATAACTGTGTATTTCTTTACATGTATGTTCTAAAATAGAAGGAAATACAAGTGCTGCGTCCATTATGAACTGTAGCTGGGTGAAAGTGCCTACCAGCAGCAAGGCCAGGCAGAAAAGTCTGCTGGCTCCTTGCTCTGCAGCTGGTACCTCCTGCCCAGGCTCAGGAAACACACTCTACCTGCCACTGCTATCCAGGTGAGGAAGGTGTACTTGAGCCAAACAGATTTGTTCAAAAAGGTCATTTAGGAAGTCTGTGAATTAAGTTATCTACATGGGATATCCTAACAATAAGGTAAAGCCATCAAGAAATGAATGCATATGATTAATCATGGAAAGTTACTCATGGAAAAATTCATAATTCCTTCTTGCATAGTTCTATGTTTTAGAGAACAAAATGAGGTTTTCCTGAAAACACACTGAGCAGTAACTCTGCCAGGAAGATGCTTCATCTGGATAAAACATCTCAGCTACTTTACAGACACAAGCTTTTAAGCCAGTATGAAACTAGATTAAGAGCTCTAACTAGTCTAAAAGACCAAGTAAAACCTCCACAAGTWTTTGCTGCTCTTGTTACATCCTTGGATTCAGATTGTCTAGATGAGGTTGTAAGTCAAACAAAAGTCACACAGAACAAAGTACAACTAGTTTGTCACCAAGGTGGCTGTTCAGCTGGCAATTTTAAACAAGTTAAAGTAAACTTTCTAAYTACAGAACCTAATTATTGGAATTCCATAAAGTCTTGCTTCCTAAAACAACTGCGTGTTCTTTCCTTCCTGCCCATATATCTCCGTATATTATTTTTTCTGTAAATATCCAAGAATAAAGTGTTTTAGCAGACATCWGACAGCCTTTAAGCCACAGCGAGTAAGGGGAAAAACTTTGGAGGCACTTATGAAGCGATTAAAGAAGAACGAAAGCCAAGCTCTACAAAAGTAAATGGCAAAGACCTAAAGTAAACAGAAATTATGTTTTCTGAGAAGGAACCCCTATTAAATTCGAGGTCAGAGATCCACCAGACAATGCTCCTCCTCGCCCCTGTGCTCACCGCAGAGCAGCCTGGCCATTCTGCATCAGGTATCAGCTGCTCCACAAGTAACCGACCACTGCAAAGTATTCGCATCGTTTCACTTGCTGTCCCAGCGCAAATCCCAGCCCYCCCAGTCCGCCCTCAACTTCACCCGCAATAAAAACTGGCAAACAGACCGACCCACCTACAAGTCCAAAATAACCATCGAGAGAAAAGGAAGGACCGAGAGAAGGATGGAATGCAGCTACACACGTACACGGTAACACGTAAAGGCTTTAAAGTTAGTAATTCTCAGTTAATAACAGAGCACGGGCAGAGCCCCGGCAGGGACAGCATCCACCTGGCACCCACAGCGGCTTTATCCCGGGAAATTCCTCGAAGGTGTCAGAGCGGCGGCAGGCGCTCCCCAGCAGGGCGCGGGATAGCGCCGCACGCCCGGAGCCGCGGTGCGGGCTCGGGAAGGGCCCGGGGCTGCCGGGGAACAGCCGGGGGCCCAGCACCGCGGCCGGGGGCGAGGGCGCCGCACGGCCCCGCGGGGGCCCCGGCGCGGCTGCCGGCGCCAGACGGGCTCTGCGGGCGCCGCCGCGACCGGGACGGCGGCGGGGCGAGGGGAGTCGGGGGGAMCCCAGGGGAGAGCGGGACGGGCAGGCGGCGGCTGCGCCCCGCTGCCCCCTCCACATCCCGTCGGAGCCCTGCTCGCTGCCCCCGTCCGCGGCCCCGCTGAGGAAAGCCGACCGCCGCCGCCCCCCGGCCTCCCCTCACGGCATGAGGGGCCGTCACCCCCTCCTGCCCCTCACCTGGCAGGGGCTCCCCAGCCCCGCGACGCCTCCCGCGGGGAGGCGGCGGCTGCGCCCAGGAGGCTCCGTGCGGGCTCCGCTCTCTCTCCCGCCGGGCCCCGGTGAGGAGGCAGCTCCCGGGACGGGGCTGCGACCGCCGCGCCCGCGCGCAACAACCAACTCCGGGCRCCGCCCCTCGCGCGCGCACCGCGGCAGGAAGCCCCGCCCCCGGCCCGCCCATTGGCTGCGAGCGGCGAGGGGGCGTGGCGCCAGCGCGGGGCGGTGCGAGGCACTCGGATGGCCGGGAGAGCCGCCGTGGGAGTACTACAACTCCCAGCGTGCCTCGCGCGCAGCCCTTTAAAAGCGGGTGGTGAGGTCRCGCKCGCGCGCYTGYTGTAAAAGTGTGTGCTTCCGCCTGSGSAGRTAAAGTAGTCCCGGTTCGTGGTTTGAGCTCCAGCCCTGCGCTGGGTGCTGAGGGGAGCGGAACGGCGGGCGCTGAACCGGGAGTGCTCCCGGCTCTGCTGGGTCTTTTCCCGAGTGGATTCTCTGGGGGAGGCGAGAGGGCCGCGCTGAGGCGGGAGCGGAGGGATCCGAGCAGGCGGGGCTCGTGCGCGTGCAGAGGCGCGGCGGCTGCGCGGGCTGAGGGGACCCGGCTGAGGGGACGCGGCCACCCCCGGCGACCCCCGGCCCTGCGCGGGAGCCGCCGCCGGCAGGTCAGTAGGGACGGCCGTGGGCCCTTCGCCTCTCCTCCCCCGCTGCGGGCAAGGAGTCGGCGGRCGGCTCTGGGTGCTGTGGCCCGCCCCTGAGGGGGGCTGGGGGAGCCGCCGGAGCTCACGAGGGGTAAGGGGGAAGAACCGGGTGAGGGTCTARGTGCTTGACTTTCGATGTTGTCCATTATATATCTTTATCTGGATCYCCCAAAGCGATGATATTTTATGGCTCCTTAATTTATTTATCCTTTCATTACGTCCACTCAGTGTTCCCTTGTCAAGCAGGTGATTTATCATAGTGTGATTCTCTGACACTTATTTACAGGTTTTCACATTCAGTTACCTGTTCCTAGGGAGCTAAAGTCTCTTATTTCGAGGTGGCAAAAAAAAGCCTCGACCCTGGGTTTGAAGACACCGGAGCCATGTACCTTGTGCGGCGCCATTCATTCCAATCCTGTGGAAAACCAGCGCTAGAGTGAAAAGGAGGAAGGGCAGGGCAGATATAAATAATAGAGCTTCTGCTCTCTAGAGAAGTGCCCTCCAACTTTTATGTCTCTCCATTCATGTCAATAAAGAGCACTTTTTGTCACGCACCTCTCATCCATGTAAATTTATTGATTTGTCGGTTATATACAGGTGCTACTGTACTGATATATACATTATAAGACATATTCAGGCAYGGAAATTGGAAAAGGATAAGACAAAAATGAAATAGACATTATTTTAAAGTATTATTTCTTAAAGCTACAAAAAGTGTTTTTTTCCCACTCCTCAGGAAATTGCTTTCCATATGACCCCCTTGAGAGACCACTTTTATAGCACATATATGTTAGTCTGAAATGATCATTCTTAAATTCTTAATATGAACTTARCCACTTGCTCAAAACAAAGACTTCATTTTCATAGCTTTAAAAAAAAAATCTGGGCCATATGTGTAGGGTCACAACATATTTGAAGATAGTCAAATGATAGTGAAATGCTATTTTATGTTCTATTGTTTTCTCTCACACCTGTATCATATGCCTGTTAGAAGGGATGAGATATTAAGTATTTCTAGAATTCTATCGTTTAGTGGCTAATACTGTAACTTCAGAATTCAGGAAATTGAGGGAAAGGGCTAAATTTTTTTTCCTGTCCTTTGAAATCTGCCATGAATTGAAATAGAAATTGAAATTAATAAGGGGATCTGGGCTTATAAATCATGTCTAAAGCAGAGTATTTGGATTAGTGTATAAAATCCTAAATTAACTTTTGTATAGGATTCCAGACAGTTTTCATAATAGACAAATGGGAGATGGTGTGATCTGACCAAACCGTCTTGGTTATGAATCGAATGTTTCTTCCTTTGGTTGCTTGTGGTGTGGCACACAGAGGGTGAGGTGACAGGTGCAAAAAGGAGAAGAGAGTCATGGCTCTTAGCGATGTTTCTTTAGTACCTGAGGGTAGGGTCCAACTTCTCTATGTAACTGACTGTAACAATTTCTGGCACTTTGCAATAAAGCAACCAAAAGGAAAGAGATTCTTACTGTCTTCACCTTCTGCTCTTGCAGGACATCTTCTCCAGCCAAACTCAGGCTTTCTGTGTCTGGTGGCCAGGACTGCCAACTGAGGAGAGGTGCTGATTTCTCTGGTGCTGCTGGACTKCTGGATGCAGGCACTGACTGTGAGCTTTAGTTTTGCTTGTGTCACATCACAATGTTATCTGAGAGCACAGGAARGGAGAAAATTACACACTAATGTGTTGGGGTTAACTTTGTAATCTTTGTTAGTGTGTCTATTCACAATGTTTTCAAATAAAGTGTCACTCAGTATCCATGTGTGCCCAATTAGTGAGGTGTATCTCCTCCCCTGCTACAGCCAGCTCAGCCTTTCGTACTCATTGATTAAACAGTGTTTTTGGACCAGTTATTGAGTGAGATTTTTCTCAAGGTTACAGGCTCATACAAGTTTCTGAATTCTTGCTGTACTTTCTGCGCTTTCCAGGCTGTGGTTGAAAGATTTAGGTATTCCTGCTCATCACTGTTGCAGTGCACACAGAGCTGTGTTCATTTTCTTGAGTGCTGTGGCATGTGCTGTGAGAAATTGTTAGAGCACAGGTGAAGAGGCTGCACTTAAAATAATGGAGACACTCTTGATAGTGATCAGTGAGAGAGATGGGTGACTCAGGGGMACATGCCTTTTTGAAACAAATTTGAGGACAGTAGGTGATTGCAGAAAGGTTCTTTTTTTTCAGTTGTTCATGTACATTTAATAAAATGGCTGTTTCGATCTATAATCTGATTGGCTTGGAAGTCCCTAAATGAGGTTGCTTTCTGCATYCCTACTTTATTATTTTTTTACTCTCATGGTTTCCCTGAGAAAGAGAGGGGGAATRTTTCTTGGGTTCATGGGAGCTGTTAAACTTCTGCTGTTCTTAAGACAAAGAGAGTGATCGATAAAAACACTTCAACACTTAATGTTCACCAGGTATGAATTACTAAGACCAGTTTGTTTTCAGAAACCAYTCATTTTTTCAGGGCATTAGTTCATGAAACAGCTAAGGCTAGTTGATGGCTATTTGAAATACACAGTCAAGGGGCAGCTAAGCTTTTATTAGTAATATATATTTGAAATATACAGTTAAGTGGTAGTTAAAGCTTTCATTGATGTAGGCCAGGTCCGTTGGCAGGATCTGCAATGCTGGCCATGTTGTGGTGTTGTCTGACTCCAGGAGTGGCTTGTTCCTGTCAGTGKCATCAGCAGCACAGCTGTTGGCTGTGATGGCAGCTGTTTGTTTTTACTGGGAGTAGCACTCARTGGTCCTTGTGGCTCCCTTCCAAATCAGCATATTCTGTGATTCTGTGGTACAAACCTGTAGCCTGATATTGGTCCTTAAATTCTGAGGGCAAAACAGCTGGATCTGAGTTGGTCCTTGCACTGCCAATGGGACAGGTCGGGTGATAAGCATTTTATTACCAGACTAGTCTGTTTTAATCTCTTGCATAATGGGATTGTTGGGATGTATRTGTTAAAGCTTTTTGTATGCACGTTAATCCTGCAGAGGGTTAATTCTTATTAAAGGAATAACTTGCATTGTTAATAGCTGTTGGGGCAAAGCTGASACCTATATTTGATTTCTGAAGGTCTAATTGATAACAATTTGATAAAGACAGCTTTTGATGAATTTCAGCAACAGCTACTTTTGAGTGGCTGTGTCCATTTGGGAGAAGTCTTCGTTCTTTGTTACAGGGAAACAAAACCACTTGCTGTGGAATACCTGAATAATTCCAAGTTCTGATTTAATTAGGAAATTTTCCTTGTTCTTTGACCTTACTTTTGCAARTGCTGATGCATTTGGAAAAAAATCCACCTTTCAGAAACATTGGGAACATTACTGGCTAGAGTGTTTTAATAGTAAGTATGTTAAATGGAAACTGTGCTGTKTTGTCTTTAAAGAAGGCTTATTAACAATTTTAATCCTAGAAACGAATAATCCTGCACTGTTTTGCAGGAGACTGTGGCAAGAGCTGGCTTTGGCTGACTGATTTYAGTCTTTTGGACCATACATCTTACCTGGTATACAGTGAATTGCAAAATAAACCTTATATTTCACTGCTTACGAAATTCTTATACTTTGGATTGTTTATACTGTTTCTTCTTGAAAAAGAGAATGTAAATCTAAGACATTGGAACATTTATTTGTGCATCATAGCTGGGATAAGTAATGAGGTGAGCAGTGAACACCCTTAACCTGCAGTTCAGGGTACTCTGATAGGATGAAAGTGGCAAGGGGTGTTTTAGTCACAAGGTTGAGTTGCAGAAAGCTTTGTTGCTGACAATAAAAATGCATGAAGTGCGTAAGAGAATGAGCGTAGTCAAAATGTTGGTTTTTAGTTGATTTCAAGAGGCTTAAGACTGACAGGATTTATTTCTGGATCCTTTTTTCATTTTTTTCTTCTGCTAACAAGTGCAAAACACAGAGGATTTTTTGGCAATTTAGTGAATTACCATGGGAAAAGTCTACTTTTGTTTTATTATTGTGTTCAAATATGGAAAGATGATAAATTCATAGCTTTAATTATACGGTGGTGTCTGAGGGATTGTTTGCAGCCAAAAGAAATTCAACAAACTGTTTTTAACTGCCCTTCAAAATATGTCATCTATAGAATTTGWTAGGCTTTCTCTGGAAGGGTTCTCAGACAATCTTGACTAAATTGTGGTTAAAACAAGTCTGACTTAGCTGTGTCTGTTCTCTAGTTCCTTTTATTTCAGGGAAGTGGTATGGCATGAGTTAGTGGGTTTTTTTGGGAATTTTTGTGTTTGTTACTTAAGAAAAAGAACATTTGTTCCTCTTGGAATTCCCTTGGCTGCTGTTTTAAAGCCTTGGACTTAAGGTGGTGTGTCATTTCCTAACTTGGAGTATTGTTAGCTGAAATTTAGTGATTTAGTAATTGACCAAACATTTAATAATGCAAATGAAAATTAATTTGGGAGAATGGACTTTGTCATTTATGTAAGAATGGGCTAAGTAATCTCAGGCTTATGTCCATAATTACATGTTTATCAAAGGCTGAATTTCTGATGTAATGGAGCTAGTGTCCCATACTAATATTGAAGATGTGCTGTGCCTAACAATATAGAAAGTGGGGAGAGAGCTGTGGCAAAACAAGTTCTGGTAGTAGTATGAGACTATACAGGAGAGAAAACAGATCAACACTGAGCAAAGCACTGGAAACAGTAAACTGTGAATCTTCTTTCACACTTTGATATCTGGAGTTTGCTAACATTGCATTTCTGCCAGAAAAACTGGGGAGCGAGGGGATTGCTCCTGGTGCAGGATCATGGCTCACAGAGGTTAGAAAAGAAAGGTTGGAGTACAGTTTARTTCTAAGGATGTTGTTTTCTTACTTTCATTCTAAACATTTTCCCTTGGTACAGTGCTGCTCTTATGTCCCAGTTTTCCCCAGCTTACTTTAAGAATAGTCTGCCTTGTTTGTATTTTCACTTACGCAGGACATTGACAAAGACATCTTCTGATACCTAAAGGATAAAAATATAAGATTTACTGAAGAAGGATATTCTGTTCAAAGCTACCATCTCTTCAAATGTACAAGCACCTTGTTGGAATATCTCAATAATCACAAATTCAGTGGGATTTCTAGAGCAGATAAGCAAATCTTCAAGAGTCTCCTGAAATATAGGTATATTAGAATGCATTTTTTTTCAGCCCTGCCATCTAGTCAGTAACTTTCATAGGTAACCTGCTAAAATCTTTTGTAGCAGTTTGCTGGCTTGGGGTGCATTTGCCACAGTATCTTTTAGCTGTTATTGCACATGACTCRTGCTGCTGATGAAATGAAATCAAGATAACCAGTATTTGACTGAATCTTCGCTGTTTCARTATGTGGGAAACGTGACAGAGTAGACTCCAACTACACTTTGCTGAGTTTAAGATAAGCAATTGCTGCAATTCATGTACGATATGTCAAGCCAGTGGAATAAATAATAAGAATAAATGAATCAGAATTGTAGAATTGAAGTTATTTTTCCAGGCCTATGGGGAAGGATCTTATCTTTCATCAGAAGAGTAAATGTTTTGATTTAGATTGGAAAGGGGAAAAGAAAAGTCACGTCAGCTTATGATATAAGTCTAATTCATTTCTGATAATCATATTTTGTCCTACTTAAGGCTATTTTGAGGCCCACTGTTACTGGAATAGCTTCAAATGCTCTTCATTTCTGGCAGCACTAGAATTTTAGGGAGAGTTGAATCACAACATAAGGAGTTATAGCAATGTACATCACTAACTCCTGACTGTGTTACTTACATCACTTTTTCTTCTGCCAGCTGCTTGTTGGATCCTTTGCTGGGCCATTTCACTCTTTCATTTGGCAGAAACGAATTTCATAAATTCACTAAATGCTCTTCTTTTTCTTTAGCATTCTGAAACACCATGTGATTTGTCCAGGCAACAGGTGCCAGGCTGAAAGATGATGCTGTAGGAGTGGTTAGTAGCTCAACAGGCTTAGTCTGCAATGAAACTCTAGCCTTAGGCTGTGGACAGCTGTTGTCTGCACCTTCCAGCACCTGGCTTGTCTTCATGCAGGCAGAGGACTTTTCTGGATGCTTCTCTTGACATGCCATGAAAACTACAGCCCACTGCTGGCAGAATGAATCCAAAAAGTTATCTTGGGTGATTGGGGGTGGCTCATAAAGCTTAATATGACTCTACCATGCATGGCAGTGGGAGTTTCCATACACATTCTTTTTTAATAAGCTCTGGTATTTGAGTCCTTCCTTTCAGCTATATCTAGCTGAAGGTATCCAGCCTCCTTGCTTTCCTGGGATTCTCCCAAAGGGAAGAGTTACCGAGTTAAGTAGCTCAAKAAAATGTCCAGTAAGCTGTGGAGATTGCTGTAACCAGCTGAGAAAGCATGAGGGAGCAAGACCTTCCTCTCTTTGCAGCAGCAAGTTATTACTTTGTAAGCTATCCTTAAATCTAGGTTGTATATCAAAATGTGCAAAGCTTGAGCATTAGATACCATTTTCAGGCCTCTTTCAACCTATGGCACCAGTATTTTGCCAGTTTCCCATTGTGCGTCAGTTGACAGCAGTGTATAAATCATTGTGTGACGTCACCAGGRTTCTGTAAATTGTTCACTAACACCAAACATTTACTTGAA